AAAAAAGTGTGCCCATCAGTTTACACTTTCCTACGAAAGCTGACACCCCAAAATCTGCAGAATGGCTCTGACTTAATTTATTTATGGTGAATTGTCCCTTTATGACATTAAAGGGTTAGTTCACCCAAATATAAAAATTAGTCCATAAATTACTCACCCTCAAGTCATCCTAGGTGTATGTGACTTTCTTCTTTCAGACGAATCCAGTCGGAGTTATATTAAAAATTGTCTTTCATCTTTCAAGCCGTTTCATGGCACTCAGTGGGTGTTGCATGCATCAGTCCAAAAAAAGTTAAATAAAAAGCGCCCAGCCATAAAAAGAAAGTGTCTCACACGGCTCCGGGGGGTGAACAAAGGCCTTCTGTAGCGAATCGATGCGTTTTTGTAAGAAAAATATCCATATTCAAAACGTAATAATCACTTTAATGTAGCTTACGCCAACAGTCCTACACGAAAGCAGTTCCGGGCGGATGACGTATGAGGTCAGTGCTGCGCATGCGCCAGCGAGTCTCGTGAAACCCAATGTTTGTTAACAGGAGCAAAGGAAGCAAAGGTTCCTTACTTTAGCAAAGGAAAACCAGTCTCCTCTTGGCTTATATCGAAATCCTCCGACATTCTTCTTTACAAATCCTCGTTTTGTACTTCTAATTAGTGACCGTTGTTTTGTTTTGATCTCTCCCCTGCGCTTCCGCGTTTGTCACTTCTGAGCGGCGCATGCGCAAAGCCTACCTCCATATGTCATCCACCCGGAGCTGCTTCCGTGTACAACAGTGAGCGCAAGCTACATTAAAGTGATTACGTTTTGAATATGGATATTTTTCTTACAAAAATGCATCGATTCGTTACAGAAGGCCTTTGTTCACCCCCCGGAGCCGTGTGAGACATTTTTTTTTATGGATGGGCACTTTTTATTTAACTTCTTTTGGACTGATGCATGCAACAGCCGCTGAGTGCCATGAAACAGCTTGAAAGATCAAAGACAATTTTAAAATTTTTAAGAAAGTCATATACACATAGGATGACTTGAGGGTGAGTAATTTATGGGCTAATTTTCATTTTTGGGTGAACTAACCCTTTAATTACTCACTTTCATGTTATTCCAAACCCGTAACACCTTCGTTCATCTTTGGAACACAAATTAAGATATTTTTGGTGAAATCTGAGAGCTTTCTGACCCTGCATAGACAGCAATGCAACTACATGTACCATGTTCAAGGTCCAGAAAGGTAGTAAGGACATTGTTAAAACAGTCCACGTGACAATGATTCAACCTTAATTTTACGAAGCTATGAGAATACTTTTTTGTGCGCAAAGAAAACTAAAATAATTACTTTATTCAACAATTTCTTCTCTTGCAGGGTCAGAAAGCTCTAAGATTTTTCCAAAAATATCTTAATTTGTTTTACGAAGATGAACGAAGGTCTTATGGGTTTGGAACGTCATGAGGGCGAGTAATTAACGACAGAATTTTTCTATTTGGGTGAACTAAAAGGCAACTAGCGTCGACTCATCCAGACTGCAAATTGGTACAAAAATACAAATACAAAAATCTCTCTATTTTCTAGTGCTTGTGTTTTCTTTGTCAGTAGTAAAAAATTAAAATAATACCAAATACTTGGAACCAAAGGTTAAATTAAATATACAAGTTTGTTACACTGAGCTGACTGTTCTCATTTGCTGTAGCTGTATGGCGAGTTGACCAATTGATTGTGTTGTACCTGTGAAACTACAGTGTCCAGCTGCTGTAGTTGCACATTGAGTTGGCTCATCTTGTCACTGTAGGCGAGTTCAGTTTGCTCGTGTTGCTGTCTTAAAGTCTTTTCCAGCTCCTCAAGAGCAACAGCTTTTTCCTGGTCACTCTCCTCCTGAAAGACGCACATACAAATCATGGGACACTCTGAAGAAACAGGTAGAGAAGCAATGACCGCCACTTCTCAGCTTTACATTCTCACCTCCAAAACAGACATAAGCCAAATGGTTAGATTAGAACTTACCCAGTGATTTCCATAAAGAATTGAGAGATCATTGATAAAATCACAGAAAAAATATTGTAACACAAAAGACCCACACAAACCTCAAATCCTCAATCAGCCAGTCATCACTCACGTGTCCCTACACTTCCTCCCATCTGTAGGAGTAATACTGAGAGAGGACCTCTCTAATGCCCCAATTGGGAAAGTGGCCAACTGACAAACCAACCAGTGTAAAACCTCAGAAAGCCCCTTTGCTGACAGAGGACAACTCTACAAGGTCAAACATAAATGTCCAACAGCATCCGATCTAGAGAAAAGGGTTACTGTGAATGATGGAGGATATAATGTACAGCACAGGGTGGGGATTAGTATTAATTTGAGTTTAGAGTGGACCGCCCCCCTGCTCCAGATGTTAACTCCCTCCCCCAATAAGCTTAGCTATTGTTCATAGCCATGTCTAGAGTAAGCATATACGCAAATGTTCATATACTAAACATTACGTCACAACAATGACAACATAGACAAGTTGAAAAAAAATACTATAAAAAGCAAGTTTTACAAGTTAAATTAAATATGAGGAATGAATACTTATATGAGTTGGAGAGAGAAGCAAGCTATACACGACAGGCTAAAAAAGCAGGCTACAGAACAAGCTATACTTTTTCTTAAGCCTAATTTGGTGTCAGTGTTTACAGTTAGATGGTCTATTAAAAGGGACTTTTGCATTGGATACCTATAAGAAATCAGTTATCAGAACTAGCCACCTGGTTGGTCCCCCAAGAACTAAATTTTTCCATAGGGCAATTTTCCTGGTTGCCTTCACACCGAGAGCAGGAACTCTGAAGTGATGTAAGCCAGCCAACAGCTACATCATTTAAAGGGATAGTTCACCTTCAGTTGGACCCCACTGACTTCCAAACTATGGAAGTCAATGGGGACCAGCAACTGTAGGTGAACTATCCCTTTAAACTGGAGGATGGAAGATGGAAAAATAACTGGTCTTCTGCATCGGTCCATCTATCACTATTTTCCATGTTTGAGTTAGTTTGAGGAGCAAGTATTTGTAAACTGTGTGTTTACACAGTTTTTTTTTTATGGCATCCTTTCAGCCAATCAACATGCAATCTTGTTTACATATTAATTAAGATTCTGGACTTGTTTACATATTAATGTCTATTCAGTATTCAGCTTGGCCCAGCCCAGGGTATCTGCAGATTTTTTTTTGAATATTGAATATTTTCTTTATTCAAGACATTGCAAGACCTTTAAGACATGCACATATAAAATTAATACTGTCCATAAATAACAATCACAAAATAAACCTTGCATCTCAGATTCTTTTATTTAATTAAACAAACCAGGGCACATGTACTTACTTGTTAATATATCAACATTGTACATATAAATTAGATGTCGATATCGGATCTTGCAGAGGTGAGGGACATTTTAGGTGCAAGAAACCTTGACAACACACATTCACTTTTATGGGAAATGGGAGTGTAGAATACAGCTACTTTAAAACTAACAGCTCCCCCTCTCACCTTTAACGGTGCAATTGTCTGCTGCAGCAGCTCCTCAGACTTGCACTTGAGAAGCTCGGCCTCTTTCAGGAAGTGGAGGCGTTGCCTTGACGCTTCTTCCTCTAATTCCCTATGCAGAGCCTCCAGCTCCCTGGCAGACACTCCTCTTAACTCCTGAGGTAGAGAGGAGAGTTAATGAAAGAAGCTTTTATCTTCTTACAGTTTAAATACAACACGACTACTTTATCTATGCTAAATCCATGCTAAAGGCTGAACATATCTAAATGAAAATGATACTTTGTTTGTGTCCTCCTGAAAACATACTTGTAACTGTTGCTGATGTTGAGTAGCCAGCACATCCAGTTGTTGCTCGTGTTGCTTTTCTTTTGCAGCAGCAAGATCCGTGATCTCCACAAGGGCAGCGACATGCTGCTTCTCTAAAGCAACTACTTGCTGCTGAAGAGCTTCCAAAGCAGATCGATGCTCATCCTCCAGAGCAGCCCTCTGAGAGGACACAGCTTCAGAGATCTCCACCTGCATGAGCAAGGTAACACACTAAATGTTGCTCCTGCAATACATTTTCCAATAAACTAAACTTGCACCAAAAAAACATCCCTCCATTGTGCTTACCTGATGGGCTTGATTCAATTCTGCTGCCATGGCGCTGAATTTATCCATATGGACCTTAGCAAGCTCACTTCTGAGGTCCTCTCTGATGGTTTGCTCCTCCTTTCTCACCCTCTCAATCTCTTCAGTATAGTGTTCTACAAGGTCACGCAGTTCTCTTTCCTTCTCGTCCTGTACTGCCTGGATTTCTTTCAAGTACGTGCTCTCCAGTGTATCCATATTTGCCAACAGCCTCTCCTCAAGCTCCTCCCTCTCCTGCTTGTGTCGTGCCTGAAGCTCCGCCTCTTGAGCTTCAAGCTGTGCCAGGTTGGTCTCCTGAAGGACCACCTCCAATCTGTCAAGCTCTACCTTGTGTTTATTTGTAAGCTCCATCTCCAAGGTCTCTAAGGCTGTTTTGTGACTGGTCCTCAGGGATTCCAGTTCCTCCCGGTGGAGTATTTTAAGTTCCAGACACTCCTTTTCAAGACGCTCTAATTGTGCAACTCGCTGGTCCTGGAGTGTTTTCTGGGCCTGTAGCTCCACAGCATGCTGTTCTTTCTGTTGACCCAGGGCAGCATCTCTTTGAAGGGTCAACTTATCTTCCAGTTGTTTCTGCTCTTCTTGGTGCCTACATATAACATACAGATGATAATGAGCACGTTTACTCCATCCAGTCTCCATTTTGTTGTACATTGTTCTGACAAAATAATTTTTATTGCAGTTGGCACAAACTAGACTGCTGTTAAAAAAAAAAAAAAACAACAACAAAAAAGTATAAGCAATATTAAGGAGTATAGATAATAGTAATAGGTCTTGAGGTTTAACTTTTAAGCTCTGGATCACATTTGCCAATGTTATTAACGTGTATGCGGTTTTAGTGTAATGCAGTTTCTGACCTGCAGAGGGCCTCTTGTAGCTTGCTCTCCATCTGATCCTGGAGTAGAGCATTCAGCTCTTTCACCTCTGCTGCCATGGCACTCTTTGCAGTGGACAACTCTCTGTCATATTGAGCCTGGAGTTTCTGCTTCAACACTACCACCTGAGGGCTCTCTTCACACTCCAGACTCTTCTGCAGTGCTTGAAGCTTCTCCCTTTCCACATCAAGGAGTTTTTGGACCTCCAGAAGCCTCTGCTCCAACTCCTCTTTCAGAGCAGATCTCTGAAGCTCTTCTCTCTGCGATGCCAAGCGCTGCTCAGCCTGAATTTGGAGTTGCTCCCTCAGCTGGGCCTGCCCTTTAGTGAACTCCTCACTCACACGATTCCTCTCTGCCTTCTGCGCCTCCTCAAGACGCACCCTTAACTCTTCAGCAGCATCTTTCTGATGCTTTAACAGGAAAAGAACACAGTTCTCAATAAAAAGAACCTTATTCATAAAGATTCCTTTGATACTGATAATGCTACAGTATTGCTAAAGGGTCTCCACAAAAATCAGCACGAGTTTCATCTGTCTACAGCATGACCACTACTTCTATGACACATGACAGTGCCTGGTACCAGCCTTTGGCAACAATCTTCACCAAAGCCCTTTTGTACTAAGTATAAAGGCCTGCTGTTATGAACACACTTACTGTCTCCTCCATCTGTCTGAGCTGATCTCTGTGTTGCGCTACCACTTTCTCCAGTTCCTCTGAGTGCATTAAGGAGAGCTGAGATAGCTGGGTTTCCAACTGGGTCACCTTGGTCTGGTGCTCATGAGTCCTCTCCTTCACCTCAGCCTCCACCTGCCTCGCTACATCCTGTGCAGACTGTAGGCGTATCTTGTTTATTTCTGACGAGAAAGAGAAAAAAACTTTTTATAATACATTTTTATATATTAAGTTTGAGGGTGTTTTTAAAGATACCAATGCTGCATTTATTAATTAAAAATACAGAAAAACAAACAGTAATATTGTGAAATAATTGCAATTAAATGTTTTTTAAACTAAATATTTTAAAATGAAAATATGCTTGCTAGGATGTTAAAAAAAACGCAAAGCTTGGAGCACACTCAACAAAGCTTTACCTTTGATATGGTTGTCTGAGAGTTTGGCACGGAGCTGTTCTAGTTCATGGGCATGTTTGGTGTTGAGCTGGTCAATGTCTTTGTAGTATCGGTCAGTGAGCTCAGTGCGAGACTGGAGTAGTTCTTCTTTATAAGTCAGAGCCATGCTGGACCGCAGCTGCTCCAGTTCCTGCTGGTGTCTCTCCTCTAACTGCAGCCGCAGAGAATCCAGCTCCTCCTGCAAACACACCAACACAGTTACAGTACTTGCAAAGAACACCTACATGCATCACCTTGTTCCCAACTTATTATAATACTAATAAATAATTGGTCAATGGTAGTCATTTGAAATTGCTGAAAGATTAGGAAGACCTTTATTTGGAAATAATGTGAACTGCTGCAACATTAAGTAAATTATGGGTACATTTGATTTTATGAAGTGTATCTAAATAAAATTCAATACCAACTAAAACACAATTTACCTTGTGTTTCTCTAGTTGTCTTGTGATCTCTTCCATGGCATCATTCCTGTCATCATCGCTCTTCCCTTCTGAAAAAAAGCTACAAAACAACATTGTGTTACAATTGACTCTAGTATTAACAAACACTCTATGCACTCGCTTGGGCTGAAAAGTAAATGTCGGGCCTTTATTTAGATTATATTAAAACTAAAAATGTTTTAATTAAATTTACTAACATTCTCTATTTCAATGGAAAAAAACACAATTGTGAAATGGCATAGTGGGCAAAATCAAAAAGGAAAGTTTGGACCGTGGGCCCTGGTTTGGTCATTTCTACTACAGGATGAATTACTGGAGCTGAATTATTCCTCACCTAAATTGCTTAGGATACAAGTGCCAATGTTACACCTGATACGGATAACAATCCAAGGTGATCAGACCAAGTGTATCAGGTAAAAATGGGACCTATGATTCTCCATTGTATAATAATGTATATGCAAGCACAAACACAAAGCAAAATTTTAAATTACAGCATCACTAACAACGCTAAAATATAGTCTTGGGCCTTAGTCTATAACCCCAGAAACTAGGGATGCTCCTATCCGCCTTTTTCGCCTCCGATACCGATTCCGATACCTAGGGTTCGGTATTGGCCGATACCGATCCGATACCAGTGAAGTCCCCCCCGCCCCATTTAAATAAATGTAGAATTTATATATCTCTGTGTGTGGAACTGATAATCATTCTTTCACAATCTACTAGATACAGACTACTTATATAGGTCTTATATAGGCCTATGTATATTTATAATCTATGACAAAAATTTATCATAAACTAGGTTAGTGATAATTCGGCAGCAAAAGTTATTCTAGAAAAATCAGTGCACAATTTTAGAAATCCAAACATTTAGTGAAAAAACTATATTTTGTGGGGAACAAATAAAAGTGCTACACTAAATATGGTAAAATGTTACACATTGCTATTTGTATTATTATAAAATCCATTCATTAAAAACATTCATGAATGTATTTATATATAAGTAGATACTATAAAATTAAAATACATTTATTTTAAATGTATAGCTCATGAATGTATTTATATATAAGTATATACTATAAAATTAAAATACATTTCTTTTAAATGTATAACATTTTTTAAGAAGGCAACAACATATGATAGCTACGATAGGACAAAACAAATAGTGATGACGCCGTGTTGCTTCAAGCGCATCATTCTGCACACCGGATGCGCACATTGTAAGCGCTTCGTGTTAAAAACTGCAATTTACAAATCAAGTATAATGGGAACACAGAATGATCTTGGAGACAGCTTTACAGAGCCGACTGCTGTAACCGAACGTGACCAGGGTTTAAAAGCTGAACGAATGACTGACAGCCACAGCGGAGAAAAGAGTTTGTGTGAACTTTAATGTAAGGACTTAAATATTCATATGTAGCTCACATTAAGCTCACATTCATATGTAGCTCACAGAAGCAACACAGAATAATTCGCACAATCGAGAAGAAAAAAAAAAAAAATCTCGGATTTGGATCGGCCCTCTCTGACCGATACCCGATCCGAGAAAAATGCCACTATCGGAGCCGATACCCGATATGAATAACGGATCGGCACATCCCTACCAGAAACAGGAAATCCAAGCAAACCTTGCATCTCCAGTCTTGAGCAACGAGTCCTCCAGGGCTCCCTCTACAAGGCGCAGCTGCAGGAGTGCGATTTCTTCCCGATGACTCTCTTCTGTGACCTGGAGTCTCTGCTCGAAATAGGTGCGGAGGTTTTCCAGCTCGATCTCATTCTGCTCTTCGATTTCCAGCCGCTGATGAGCGAATTCTTGTTTTAGTAGCTCAATGTCATCAACCCGCGACGAGCGTGCAAGCAACTGCTCTTTCAGCTCTTTAGAGAAAGAATTACAGGTCTTTGTAGTTCACATCAACACTAAATAATAGGAACTTTGCTGAAAACAAACATCAATTCAGAGGAAATAAAACTGGTTTTATTATAAATAATAAACGAGTAAGACAATACAGCAGTCTAAGCCCACAGAGATGTTCAAAAACAGAAAATGTTTTAAAGGTAAATAGCCCAGCTTGCCTCCGAGCTCCTGTCTGTTGGTTCTCATGCTCTCCAGCTGGGACCAGAGGTTTGAGATCTCCTGTTCTGAACTGGTCTTCAGTTCCACCTTTTCTGACTGCAGACGCTCAACCTTTCACAAAGACATTGCCTCAGTACAAATAAAAATAAAACATTTGCATTGCAATTTTGTTGCAACAAATGCCACATATGCATGGTACCTCTCGCTTCAACTCTTTTCCTCTCTGCTCCAGGGCTCGAGAACGTTCCAGCTGCTCCTGCAGAGCCGCCTTGTGACAAGCAACCAACTCCTCAAGTGCACCTGAGGAGGAAGGGATGGGAATTTAGGGAATTTCAGACCTGTTGATTGTTTGCTTCAGACTTCAGTTGTTACAATGTTGCACTTTCTTCTTGGTTTGGTTCAAAATGCGTTTGGGCTGCAATGCTTTCACCACAACTGAACTACTCCAGAGTCTTCAATTGAGCCAAGCCCACGTCATTCAGGTGATATCGAACCACTTGTTATGGTGTGCTTGCAAATGCTTAAACCAAACTAAAGGAGAAAGACCACTGGGTTCTGAAACAAACACTCCAAACAAGCCAGTTGTAAAAACACCCATAAACTGGGCCAGCAAACCATATCACTGTCAATATGGCTTAGTTCACACAATTGTTTAAACGACACTCACGTGCAGCAGCATCTCTGTCAGTCAAGGCCTGGTTGAGCTCTTTTTCCAGATTCTTAATGTCTTGATCTCTGGAATGCTGCAGGTCTTCTAGCCTACCCTGCGTCTCTGAGAGAGCTACTTCAGCCTCAGTAAGGGCCGCCTGGGTCTCACTAAGTTTATGATGGACATCATTTAATTGACTCTGGAGTTCTGTCTTGACCTTCTTAGCCTCCAAGAGCCACTCTGCCTTTAGATCCTATGGAGAAAAGAAAACATCGCACTGCACAAATCTGTTTCACACCTATTTCTTGGCAAGCCACAATATCTCAGTGGGTCAAGATGTGTGTCCTTTGAGGGGG